ACTTTGAGATCGTTCTAAATACAGATCTAAAATCATAAGAAATAGTTTAATAGCTATGATACTGTTTTTGAAATCAAATCTTTGCGTAGCTATGACAGGAAACACTGGCATTATGGAGCTTATAATATGTCTGCTAATCCCAGGTTATATGATCACGCAGGTTGTTTACGCATTAAACTCTTGGCCACGGGAAAAATGTTGTTCCCTCAACATAGGAAGTCGTGGCAGAGTCCTGCACAGGTCCTGTTTGATAAACCCGCACCCGCAGTAATTGACAGAACACTCGACCCGTTATCCGACAGTAGCGCTGTAATTCCATACCCGAACCACACGCGTATTCTCCTACATCACACGCGTTTATTAAAACTTCTATTCAAATTGTGAATAGCAGGAAAGTAGGCGGTTTCGCTGTCGGTGCTCATTCAAACGTCCACTTCCACGGCTCTTCGCAGCAGGCGCCGCCAGAGATAAACACGTTTTATCTTTTTATCGCCTTTAACCTATTACCGGGCAGATTATTAACAACCAATGGAACATTTCACTGAGCTCATGTCGGTGTGTTGAAAACATGATGATCATTTAAAATGTAGCCTAATAGAATTCCCATTGGATGATCCATCAAAAATCTTTTACAGAGAAATAAATAAATAAATAAAAATCCAGGGCATGCGTGTAGGAGTTGGTTTGCCAGGTAAAAATACAATTAGGCTACGTGTACAATGTCATTGTTAACTGTGTCTGATATGAAAACTACGCTAGTCATAGTCCCATGAAATGATAAATGGCAAATAACACACATTTTTTTGTTTATTTTTAGTAAAATCAAATGTGACCTTGTTGTTTGTAACTGTCTGCCCCGAGACTGCACAGAAGACTTCCACTACGAGAGAAAGCGGCAGCCGCACGGCGATTCCTGGATGTCATCATCTCCATACGATTATCTCCACAAAATGATCTCGTGGCCACGACGTATTATCACGTTTCCACGAGCTAATATGTTGTGGCCACGACGAAACTAGCCTAAGTGAACCGAACATGTCCGCTCCGGTCACCGTAAATGCTTCGTTCGACTTTTCGGAGATCATCTACTCTTCCCTGTGGATAACCTCTGACCTACTTTCTCTACGATCTGAATTTCTGCGCATTGAATTTTGAATATTGAATTTGATGTTCCGAATTTCTTCTTCATCTTGAAAACTTGAAGCTGTATTTTTAAAAACTGGATATTTGCAGTCAATTCAGAACAAAAAATCAGCTGTTTGAAAATACATGTCTATAAAAAAAAAAAAACTGCCATAAAAAATTAAATTGTGTTCAATTTCAAATGTTTGCATGAACTAATCAATTCTCTTTCCGGCTCAGACTGCATTGGTTAAACTTATGGGGCTGTCACGTGATGAACGAATGACTCGAAAAACCCGAAGACTCGAAACAGGTGAACTACTTGACTAGGCGCCGCCAGAGATAAACATGTTTTATCTTTTTATCGCCTTTAACCTATTACCGGGCAGATTATTAACAACCAATGGAACATTTCACTGAGCTCATGTCGTGTTGTAAACATGATGATCATTTAACATGTAGCCTAATGGAATTCCCATTGGATGATGATGATCCATCAAAGATCTTTTACAGAGATATAAATAAATAAATAAAAATCCAGGGCATGCGTGTAGGAGTTGGTTTGCCAGGTAAAAATACAATTAGGCTACGTGTACAATGTCATTGTTAACTGTGTCTGATATGAAAACTACGCTAGTCATAGTCCCATGAAATGATAAATGGCAAATAACACACTATTTTTTGTTTATTTTTAGTAAAATCAAATGTGACCTTGTTGTTTGTAACTGTCTGCCCCGAGACTGCACAGAAGACTTCCACTACGAGAGAAAGCGGCAGCCGCACGGCGATTCCTGGATGTCATCATCTCCATACGATTATCTCTATTATCTCGACAAAATGATCTCGTGGCCGCGTCATCTCACGCTCCCACAAGTTAATATGACCTTCCCAAAAAATAAATATCTCGTGGCCACGACGTATTATCACGTTTGCAAGAATTAATATGTTGTGGCCATGACAAAACTAGCCTAAGTGAACTGAACATGTCCGCTCCGTCACCGTAAATGCTTCGTCCGACTTTTCGAAGATCATCTCGGCCAGTGGTCACCAACCTTTTTAGGCCCAAGATCCCTGACCTCGGCCTTTATGAAAGACAAGATCTACCTATTGAAGAATTGATAGAAAAAGACATCCCAGATTGTACTTCAAATTTGAGGCCTTTTACTTAGTATTTTAATTAGTGATGCGCCGATCATAGCTGATTCAGAATTCAGATTTTCTTTTCTTTTTCTTTTAACTAGCAAATTGGATTCTGATACTGATACGGATTTTTAAGCTAATTTATTTATTGGCTATTTGCTTTATAACAAACAAACTGGCTTTAAACAAAAATATCTAGCCATTTGAAATGAGAGGCAACCACTGCATTTTAATCACGATCTGCACGGGCAGTTGTTTTTGATTTGATTTAGATTAATTTCAGGATTTAAAACAAAAACAGAATGGTCCGACTTTAGGTGTTATTTATTTATTTGCTACATAAAACATCTGCACGAAACAAAAACAGCAGGTCTGAATGAGACGCACTCTCTGACAGCAGGTAGCGCCTATGAACAGGGTTGCCAGGTTTTCACAATAAAACTAGTCCAATCG